CGAGACTTAAAACAGATGAGCCAAAGACAAGTCTCAAAGGCTTAGTCAAAAATGCACGGAAGCCACTTCAATATCTTAAGTCAAAGAGGTCACACCCGTGTTCCAAATTCAACATGCAAGGGTGAGACCCGTATCTCAAGTTCAAAATGTAGGGTCCACCCCCACATTCCAGAAGCAGGATTATGGCGCATACCTTCACACAGGTCCTACGTAGCAAATCCCTTCAACCAAGATGCCTTCGAAGCAAGTGCAGAGAACAAATCCTTTACCACAAGGAATCAACAGCTCCAAGATCAGAGTTGAGATCCAAAGTATTCCGAAAATTTGTCCCAGTCAACCGCGAACTTTCGAAAACTTTGGAGGGGGTTCTGTAGGCGGTCAAAAAATCACAATAGATAGCTGATCCCCATCAAAACACCGATGATAAAAGTTACAATCTGACGACTTTCAGAAGGTTATAATTTGAAGACTTTCACATAGACTGATGAATGTTACAATCTGACGACCTTCACAACAACTGATGAAAGTTCTAATTCAACAGCCTTCACAATCAACATCGGGAGTTACAAATTGACGAATCTCATATTATCAAGAGCTAAATGTAAGGATTACAATCTGACGATCCTCACAAAAGTTCAAAAATAAAAATAAAAGATTATAATTGACAATCTCTTCAACGCGAATGTCGCGTTTGACCATTTCAAATCCTTGAAACGGTCCTCCACTTAATAGGGCAACTAACCTCCATTATGGAGCTAATTAAGGGGGTAGTTATACCCCTTAAACTCCTACAAATAGGTGGTTTTCACAGAAAAATCGGGCTGGTGGTAGAGGGCTAGACGAAATTAAAAGAAAGAGGGAACAAGAGAGGAGAAGAAAGGTCAGATTTGCGCAGTTGTGATCAGCATGACGATCGGACCCTCATCCGTGGTCCGATCGATGTGAAATTTGGAGGGTAGCTTCTACACTCGTCTTTCCTAATTCTGAACGGTGGAGATTTCTTTCTATCGGTTAGATTTGGAGATATGAAGGTTTTACCGAAGCTGGTCGTTCCAGGAGTGCAGAGAAAAGTCAGATTTGCGCAGTTGTGATCGGCGTGACGATCGGACCCTCATCCGTGGTCCGATTGATGTGAAATTTGTAAAGTTGTTACTACACTTGTTGTTCCTAATTCTGAACGGTGGAGATTTCTTTCTATCGGTTAGATTTGGAGATATGAAGGTTTTACCGAAGCTGGTCGTTCCAGGAGTGCAGAGAAAAGTCACTTTCGTGCAGTTGCGATCGGCGTGACGATCGGACCCTCATCCATGGTCCGATCGATGTGAAATTTGGAGAGTGGCTACTACACTTATTGTTACTAATTCTGAACGGTGGAAATTACTTTCTATCGGTTAGATTTGGAGATATATAGGTTTTACCGAACCTATAAAGGACTGGCGGAGCTTTTTTGAGATCGGCCGAAGAGAGAAAGAGATCAGCTACTGTTTTGAAATGATTAAACTTTCTTTATTATCATCAACTCTTTTTAGAGTTCCCCTAACTCGATTAGAGTTTTAAAACTTGTTTACCAAGTTCTTTTCAACTCTTCCAAAGAGTTTCTTAACTCGGCTAGAGTTTCAAACTTGTTCAAACAAGTTCTCTTCAACATCCTACGGGGCTAGAGTTTTTGGGAGAGATCAAACCACCACGAAAGTGGATCGGTTGGTCAGTTGATCGATTTTCTGATATCAAAACCGCGTAAGGTTTAGGTGAGCTGGCATCACAACAAATCTCGGCAGTTGAGTAATCGGAAGGAAGAGATCTTCGGGAGATCAAGGAACTGATCAACGATCAGTTAATCAAATCTCGGAGGATCCCTTCATCAACGTCATAATACACTTGGCAATTAACCGAATCTTCGGTTCCAACAACTCTGTTACAGAGTTTTAACTCATTCTGAGTTCTTAAACTCGTCAAGAGTTCTTAATTAACTTGCAATACAAGTTAATCACATCGAGCCAGACATTCGGTTTTCAACAACTCTTATCAGAGTTCTTAACTCGTTCAGAGTTCTTTACACTCGTTAAGAGTTCTAAACCGAAGTCATCAAGCACTTCAATTGTTCCAGTGAAGAAGGACGGTCGGATCGTCAACGGAGAGCAAGTTCGACGCGATCAATCGAAGGAGGCACTCCATCGCTACCAAGAAGAACCCAGTTTTAAACAAAGGGGAAAACCAAATTCGTTTTCCTCTCTTTTGTAATCGGAATCCAAATTGTAATTGATTTTGAGGGAATACAAGTCAAATTTTCTTTCATTGTCTTTTTACTGCAAATTTCCAACAAACAATAATATCGCCGAATTTTTCTTATTTAATTTACGCTTAGTACCACATGATTTCACATGTAAGGATTCATTATAAGAAGCAATTGTATCGAGCAAATATAGGTTGTCATAAGTACTCAAGTAACCAGTTCTCACAATATTTGAATTAAAAGATAAACTGAATTGATTGTTTCCAAATGAACAAGAATAACCTGATTTGTCCAATACAGAAACTGAAATCAAATTCCGTCTAAAAGACGGTACTACAAAAGTATCTTTTAAGTCCAAATAAGTACCAGTTCCTAATAGCAACCTAAAATGCCCAATTGCTTCCACATCTACCGATTGTCCGTCGCCCACAAAGATGTGTCTTTCAACATCACTTGGCTTTCGGCAGCTCAGACAACCCTGCATAGAAACACTTATGTGAGTAGTAGCACCAGAGTCTAACTACCAAGTGTTTCTAGGTACTGAAGCTAAATTAACCTCAGAACAGACCAAAGCAAGGAACGTACCCTTATTATCACGCCAGGCGTGATATTTTGTACAGTCCTTCTTTACATGTCCAGGCTTCTTACAGAAGAAACATCACTGATTATCCTTATGTTGTTTCTTCTGAACTGGACCCTTAGCAGCTTCATTATCATTCTTTCTTTTCTTGCCCTTATCCTTAGAGGCATAGGCCAAATGAGGACTTTCAGTCTTATCTTGCTTCAACCTGTCTTCTTCTTGCACACAATATGAAATGAGCTCATGATAATCATATTTTATTATAATTTTATACCCTCATTATCTATTTTTAATGAATAAATATATCATTAATAATTGTTTTTATCTTTAATTGCAGATTAATGAAGAATAAAGCCCAAAAATCTCATCTCTCAACAAAAGCTCATGAATTAAATGAAGAACACAAGCAAGAGCCAAAAATCCCAAGCCCAGAATCAAGCCGAGTTGCTTGTAGAAGCCGGAGAAAATAAAAAAAATCAAATATGAAAACAAAATATATTCAAGATGGTTGGCCGCAAAGAAATGACGATATCTCTCAATCCGAAAGGCGGAATTTAACATATAATATATGAAAATCGCCTATCTCGACGAGATGAAGCCATCTGTGAAGACATATTTTTTATTGAGCATCGATGCCAGCATCGATGTAGGCATCTATACCGGCATCGATGTTGGTATCGATGGCTACGATTCAGTTACAGATCAATGGCTGATTTTTGATGGTTTTGGATAAGGATTCAATTCAAAGGCTCTTATTCATTGATGTTTACTATAAATAGGGCTAGAGAGTGAGGGGTTAGAGGTGTAAAAATTTTTGTAACTCCTTTTAGAGAGGAGGGCTACTCTTAATTGAGAAGGCCTTCCAAATTTGTAATTTTTTGTTACAATTAATAATAATAATTTTTTCACCACTTTAAATATTTCTTCTCTTTGTTGCGTTGGATGATGAAGATGAAGATGAAGATGGAGAATTATTTGAAGGTTTGCATTTCTTTTCTTTTTTCTTTTTATTGCTTATTAGTTTAGATTTATTTCTATGCTTGTAGTTAGATTTTATTTTCTTGTTAAATAGCCAAGAGGCTAGAACCCTCTTG